CGCGGCGCAGGACACGCAGGACCGAGGAAGAGAAGAAAAGCCGCGCGCCGGAGAATCGCGAGACTGCGATCGCCCTTATGGCTCGGGGATCCTGAAAGATAATTCTTTTAATGGAAAATGACCAACATTGGCAAGGACATGGAGAAATAGTAACTCTTGCACATTGTGATAGGAATGTACAATGTAGCAACTTCTGTGGAAAACAGTTCAGCCCAAAGGTGGAAACAACCCAAATATCCATCAATGGATGAATAGATAAACTTGTATATACCTACCATGGAATATTATTCAGCCTTAAAAAGCAATGAAGTTCTGACCCAAATGAATGGCTGAGCCTCAAAAAATCACGCTAAGTGAAAGAAGTCAGGCACAAAAGGCCCTATATGGTCCTGTATTGTAGGATTCCTTTTATATGAAGTACCCCAAATAGACAAGCCGATAGATGCAGAACAGAGATTGCTAGGGAACGGGAGAAAGGGGAAATAAGTGAGTGACTGCTTACAGTAGGAGGCATTTTCTGGGGTGATCAAGAATTTTTGAGGGGCACCTGAGTGGCTCAGTCGTCAAGCGTCTGCCTTCGGCTCAGGTCACGATCCCAGGGTCCTGGGATCGAGTCCCGCATCGGGCTCCCTGCTCCGCGGGAAGCCTGCTTCTCCCTCTCCCACTCCCCCTGCTTGTGTTCCCTCTCTCGCTGTGTCTCTCTCTGTCAAATAAATAAATAAAAAAAAAAGAATTTTTGAAACTAGAGAGGTGGTTGCATAATATTGTGAATACACTAAAGCCACCGAGTTGTACTCTTCAAAATGATTAAATGTATGTTATGTGAATTTCAACTCAATTAAACAAAAAAGAAGCTGAGCTTTTGGCCTCTGGAGTCCAAACTAATAATCCAAATTCACTGTTTTCCTTGAAGGCTGGCTAGGTGGGGAAGAGGGTGGTGATGGGAGGTCGGCGGGAGGGGTACCAAAATGAATTAGGGTAGGGCAGCAGAAGCAGGGAGTGGGAGGGGCCTGGGTTAGTTTGCGGGATCAGAACCCCGGGTAGGAGGCTGGCTGCTGTGGGGGCTGGTGGTGGTGGTGGTGCAGGGGAGGCCCAGAGGCTGGGGGGAGCAGGGCTGGACGGGCCCTGGCTGAGTCAGTGGCCTCCGCTGCCATGATGGTTTCTCATAGACTTTGGCTGGAGGGTATGGGCTAGGGTAGAGGGTAGGCTGAGGTCTCTCTCCGTCACCCCTTCTCCTTCCTGTCCTGCAGATGTTGAACCTCTTTGTGGCCGCGATCATGGACAATTTTGAGTACCTTACACGGGACTCTTCCATCGTAGGGCCTCACCAACTGGACGAGTTCATCCGGGTCTGGGCTGAGTACGACCCGGCCGCGTGATGAGTGGCCCCTGTGCTCCGAGGTCCTCAGGGTGGTCCATGCCACGGATCTCAGGACAGGGCTGGGTGGCTTCAGACCTGTCTCATGTGACACAGGTTTTGTCCAACCCCCTCAGGTTTTGGCGGGGTCCGCAGAGGGTGGTGCCAGGTCCCCTTCTAGGTGGCACGCTCCTTCTCATGCCCACAGTGCTCTTACACAGCTCCCTGGGCTGAGAAATGCTCTGTGAGACCCTTAGTCCAGCGCTTAGGAGGTTCCAAGGGGTCTGTGAGGCTCAGGTCTCTTGCCAAATGGGAGTGTACTGTCTCCTCACAGGTCTGTCACATGAGGGGCGTGGAGGGCTCAAGGGAGAGGGTGTGGACACAGCAGGAGGGCCTTCCCTTGGGGCCTCACCATCCTCATGAAGCTTGGAGGCCTTCATGGCAGAAATGACATTCTTCCCGCCGATGGGCTCAGGCCTCTCCCTCTCTGCCATCTCTTGGGAACAGGAGCCAACATGCACCTCTGTGTCCCCAGCCCAGGCTGCAAATAGCGGGGGCTTGGTGAACTTTCACTGAAATTAAAGGAGCTACCAGGAAGGGTCTAGTATGTTGAAGACCCTTTGGTCATGGTGGGAAAGGGTTACTGTGTTGCATTAAGTGAGGGGTAGTTTGTTTCCAGACAGAGCAAGTATGTCATGAGGGGACTGGCTTGGGTTAGAAGGGTGTTCCGTGATCCATGGGAGAGTCCTGCACACCCAGGACACATACTCTTATCCTCGGGGCTAGCAAAGCAGCATGGACTCACCATCTGCCCATTTGTCTGTTCCTTCATCACTCGCTTCTTCACTTGCTTATTCATTCATTCACTCTCTCAAGCGGATACTTGAGTAGTTATTCAGGGCATGCTCTCTGCAAGGCCAACACAGGACATGGAGGGGCCAAGAGACCTGGCTGCTGGGGAAGGCACAGGCCTGCTCATCGCCTCGCTCATGGTGAGCGCTCAGCAGACATGAATGTGAATGAACAGTGCATCAGTAAACGGATGGGCATCCGTCCCTTCCCACGCTCGAAGGGAATGAGAAGACTGTGAAGATGGGGTGTAGCCACTTCCCACCTCCTCTCTCCGAGGCTCCCAGCCTGCCCGTGTCCCCCTCGCACAGCTCTGTGTTTGGTCACCCCTTGCGTGGTCGAGGCCTGGAGGAGATGGTCAGTGTCATCGTGGGGAGAACCCTACTGCCCACAGTTTTTCCCTAAATTGGAGCTCAGCAAGGGGATTGCCACAGAGCTCTCTGACCCTCAAGCCCCTGGGAGCTTGGCTGGGCTCCCCCTCCCTCCTCTCATCAAGCCTTCCTGGAGCCCCTACCCCATCATGTGAGGATCCAGAAGATGCTGTATGAGACCCTTCCCAGGCTGGGCAAGTCCTGAAACCACTGGTAGC